GCAAGAGCCCCCAGAAACAGTGCTGGCAGAATATGAAAACTGAGCGACCACATAAGCTCAACAAATAAGATATTGGACTTATGTTGAGAAGGAATTGGGAGAGAAGAAGAGTATCTTGGAGGCAATTTGGACAGGAAGCTGGATTGTGTATTGCACCTCACACAATTCAGAGTACATTTGCTAGTAAGAGTTATACCTAATATAAGGCTTGTAAGAAGCCTAAAACCTTCTGATTGGAATGAGCTGATTGATAGTATGCCTCAAAGGCTTAGAGAATGTAGAAAGCAAAATGGCTTACAGACTCATTATTAAGGTATTAACTTCTCTTCTCTGTATTCTATCTAAAAGAGAGTTTTTTTTCTTATCATTGTTGAGAAAATGGTTGTTTTGTTGTTGATATAGTTCTTAGAATAAAGTCATCATTGGCAATGTAACTGATCATATAGCAATAACAAAACTACAATAATAGTGCTGCCTCATACCATAACGAAAAAAATTTTATACTGGAAGATTAGGAAGAATGGAATGTCTTGAGTTAACGTATTAGAGAGTAATTGAAATGAGGGAAGTTGGGACACATTTTGCCAAGATATCATGCTGAGTAGAAATACCAGCTTCTATACTGGCTTCTGCATACCAATGATATAAGAAAACAGGGTCAGTTTTAGTCCTAACCAGAACTGGTCGAGTCTAAAAGATTTTCCCTCATAGTACCCGTCATTTAGTTATTGCCTTTAGGCATAATAGAGAAATACATCATTGGCAGCTTTGCCATGATTTTGTCCTCCAAGCTTTTGCCCAGATAATTAAAAAAAGACTAGCAGAATATGAGATTTATAAGCAAATAAAAGCTGAGAGGTCAAGGTTAATAGCGGGTCTGGCAAGAAAGAGATATGAATAGTGCATAGGGCAGAGGGGTTGGACAATTGATCAATGGAGGAGGGTGGTCTGAAGTGATGAATGTAGTATTGAGAAATCTGCAGATCCAGCAGTTCAATGAGTCTTCAGAACATCCAAGGAAAGATGACTACCAGAGTGTGTGAAGGGAGGGAAGAAGTCTGGTGGAATCAAGCAGAAAGTATGAGCCTGTTTTACTGGTAGATTGAAGGAAACCTGTAATGGTATGAGGGTTGTGGATGGGGGTAGAGTGAATGCAAGAGTATATGGTAGGACTTTGGACTTTTCTTTACTTGATTTTTTAAAGGAATTGGAAGAAAAGAATATTAGGCCAATCTTTATGCAAGACAATGCTAAGGTACATACTGCTAGACTTACAATAGCATGGTAGGAGGAGAATAAGGTGGAGGTTTTGGAGGATTGGCCCCCATATTCACCAGATCTCAATCCCATTGAACATATTTGTGTATACTTCAAG